CTTTGTGATTTCTTGCTGCATAATAATAGTCCAAAGAATAAAGAGGCAATACACTGAGTAAAGTAGAGGCAAGAAAACCCACTGTGGACTTCATCCGTACTGTGATATACACAGACAATGCAAGACAGACCACTCTAGGGAGCACACAATAAAGCCGGGAGGCCAATTTGCTCCTTAGCTGTGAAGAATTATGAAATGCATTGGATTATATTTTATAATGACTTACAGCTCTTTTTGGCAGTGAAGCTTATTGATACTTACTGTGAAATATTTAGCAGAGCTAAGTACCATTATATTTAGCAGGTGGTTTTACAGTTATCAACAAATGTGTACTTTTCAGCAGATATTCTCTAAATTATACTCTCCTTACTGCCCATCAGGGACGCCTCCAGAAAATAAACCAACATCGGTACCTTTTGGTGGCTATTTTTCACGGCAAAGAAGCAGCGTTTGTAGCAAAATAAAGATAAGTAGCTATAGATATTACCAGTACTTACCATTTGCTAATGGCTTATTCTGATTATTGTCTGTGCATGGGAAATACGGAAAAATCTAAATAGTGTATACTTTAAAACATGCTTTAGACTTAAGAATAATAGAACGAGTTGCACAGTTAGACGGAATATGCATTTATTATGCTTTGCCGTAGATGTACTGTAGGCCATTTGTCATCAGGCTTAATGGGTTTGGGAGTTTAAAAGTGTTCACAAAAAAGTTCCTCTAACTGATTGCCATTCTACTGTTTTTTGCGGTTTATTTTTATTTTTCCATGTAAATTTTTATTGAAAAAGAATAGGTAATGCAAAAGACATAGAGCTTGATGAAATAGGCAAATAGTAGTACATAGCACAGAGAAAACCAAATCATCATGCTAAGAAAAAATACGGTGGAGTAACATATAGCTCAACCAGGACGAAGTGTAAAACAAAAGCCCAAGTATTACTAGACTCCGGATCAAAATACCAACGTAACAGTCCAAAGCATCACATTAGTACCATGAGATAGTAGGTGTTTCAGCGGAGGGTGATGGCCTACTGCACAGTGGTCATGAATTGTTGCCATTTACCACTGGGTGGTATAAGGAGAAAAAGAAGAAGGAAAGAAGAGAGAAAAGAGGGGTAAGGGTAGAGAAGAAGTCCTAGGATGCAGCCGAGGAGAGGGGGAGTATGGGGGGACTCTAAAATGGGAGAGTCAAATGGAGAGCAAGCAGAGATCAAATCGAGGATTTTTGTGGTTAATGTAAATCAGATGTCTGACTATTTGATATAACTGACAGAACTCCTTGTGCCATTTAAAACAATTATTCCTAAAGACAGATTTCTTTAATTGTGGAATTTTCCATCATTTAGGGAAATCATTTCAGGAAAATGATTTCAGGAAAAAATGCTAAATTTAGTGTTTGTTGCTGGATATTGCATATGATAGCACAATGTCATTAAAACAGAATCTTAACATTCAGTGGCTATTCTCAAAAAAATAAACTGAGCTCCTATTTGTACTGATATAGATGGTGGGGAAACCGTATGGAGTGCAATTGTAGCAAAGTCACTTCTCCATCACACTCAAAGCTGCCATCCCCATCAGTCCAGCATTGCTTTATTACATGTCAGTGAAAAACAGGTAAACACTCCTCCACTTTTCTCTCTGATGTATTTTGCCCCTTCCAGGGGTTTAATGTAGTATTATACTCTCATTGTTTTTTAAAATTATGAATCTAGATCAAGCAAATATAAATTGCTCAGCAGAGTATTTCTTTAAATTTTTGCAAAAGCACTTACAGTCCTCATGTTTTCAAACAGATGGCTCCAACTTTCTCAGCTCAGCTTCCCTGAACTCCCTGTTGAGTACAAGATTAAATTAGACAGAGCTGTCTCTAGCAGAGGTCCATCTACTGGCTTGGAAGAGGGGGAAAGGAGGAGTGGGTAGTGGGGTGCAGGGGAGTGATCTGCCTTGCTCTGCTGTGCCTGTGTGTTTGCCACACAAGGGTGCCACACAAGGGTGGCTCCATAAGACACTGTAAGGGAAAAGAGCCACACTCAAACAGGATATCAGGGCCAGCTGATTCTGCAGGAAACTAACACTTTTAAACATCAAGAAGTAGCATCTATTGTAAGTGATTTTATCATTATTTGAAAAAAACGTAAAAGCCTTTTGACTTTTTAATATTACTTTACTCATAATGTCCTGCTACAAGGTGTTTGATCATGGAAAAGTCCATCCAGGAACTGATTTAATACCAATTATGTCATGTTATCTCATGAGTATAAATACTGTAGTGGTGGGAAAACTGAAGCCATATTCTAGTTTGCAATGGTCTTTATAGCTGGTAATGCACAAATAGCTGTCCCTGCTTTGGAACCAAATGCCTACACCATCTTTCCCCCATAACTGTCCCTCTTTTAGGTCTGATGTAAAGCTCTGTGTAAATAAATGTATTATTTAACTACTAGAAGTTATTATGCTCCTCATTTACAACCCCTGAATAAAAGTTAATATTGAACAGTTGTGAGAAAGTGATTGTATTTTTGTTGTAGTACCTGTTTTGCTGATGTTGACAATTGTCTCTATCTGTTAATGTGTGAAAATGGTCTTTGGCCCATGAATTCTGTATGGTCTGTATGACTGGGGGTTTGGAAGGGGTTTGTCTTTTGCTTATAACAAAATATCCCTGTGTTTCCTCTTCAAATGTTAGGAGGTTTGCAAGGTAGACACAACTGATTTCTGATTGAAATGCAATAACTATTATATAAACATGGTTATTCCACTGAAAACAAAGATATGACACTCTGAGACACAGTGATAGCTTCACACTCTGAGGCACAGTTTAAACACTATGAATGCAAGGCGAAGCTGAGCTGTGTTAAGTTGTTAAGAACGTAAGCCGATAAGACAGCCAGTGTTCTACCTGTTCTTGTCAGGGCTTCCAGAACAAATGAATGACCTTACTCATCCCTTATCACAGGATAAGATATAAAGTAGAATAGGGATTTTTGTCAAAGCAGAGCTGAGGGTCCCCGTACAACTTACCAAAACACTCCAATATTCTTCAGAGAACAATAAAGGATGTTAATTTATTATCAGGTCAAAATAATTTTCTCCCTTTAACCCTTGCTTTTCTCAGCCGAGCCTGCTTTTATGTTCAGATTTGGAATCAAACACTATTTAGTACTGTGTGTATTTATGATATGTGAATTTCCAATTTATTCAGATTTTATGGAATTTGCAGTTAATGCTTGTGTGTATCCCGAAGAACTTTAATCAATTATTTATGCACTCAAGGTTAATAAAGATGGGCACTGGAGCTACAAAATTGTATCCAGGTGCAAGTAAATGATGATACCTTTTGGGCAGGCTTCACCATATTGTTACTGATTATTTAATGAATTATCTTGTAAGACCTATTGAGAAAAGGCAGCACATGCACAGTACAACAATGATTGCTGGTTTAGTGGAGGATGAAGGAGCTGTATGACCAGGCACTTGGACAAGGTTGCCTACTAATCTGAAGCTGGTGGACCCTGTCATACTGTGTACGTGTGGGCCTTTCTGCATAGGCAGGTTGGAAAATGGAAGACCCAATGTAGGCCATGACACTTGGATGTGGTTGCCTGCTAATTTAAGGTCTATAACGGTCTGTAGAGGTCTATAGATCTTGTATAGAGTGTGAGGGTGCAGATTGAGTCACGTAATAAACAAGCAGAGTGGGGGTAAAATCAGCAAAAACACAAAAATGATGAACACGTTTTAACACCGCATAAAACAAGAGGGATTTAATTAGAGCTTTGCTTTATGTAAATATCCAAAATACAGTATATATCAAATGTTTTAAACCTCTGGAATAAGCAAAACTTGTTGTGCTTTTTGTATTTCTTCCAGATCTGTGCAGTAATCAAGTGTGAAATATTCCCTTTGTACAGAGGTTACTTGTAATAAAGACCAGTCACTGCTGCTCTCTCTCCATGTGTAGCGTGTTTGTTTTGTTTTGCTTGGTCTTCTTATCTGCCCCTCCTGTAGTTGTCTACAGGCAGACCGTAGTGGGTGGAGTCTGATGGTCCCCCCATAGTTTTTCTCTCTATGCATAGGCTATTTACAGCAAAGTGATAATGTCACTTATGTTTTTACAAGATAATAAATTGGTTTGCAAAGACATTTGGTGTACACAAAGTGAATTTATATATTTTGTGGCTAATGAGGAATATAAGGAATACATGAAAGTTTTTGTGCCTGGAGTTCAGCTATATTATTATTATTATACAGGATTTATATAGCGCCAACAGTTTGCGCAGCGAAGCTATAAACAAACATCAAAATTACTGAATACCTGTATGTGGTTATTCATTGATTTTGACATTTGGTTTTGGTACATACAGTCGTTTTTATATTTAGTGCAAAGCTCTAAATAACTCCCTCTTGTTTAGGGGGTGTTAGAGCCTATTTTATATGTGTTTTTATGCTTTTCCTTGAATTCCATATTGTGCAGGGGCAATCATCTTGTGCTCACATCTTCCATGCCAACCATGGATATGATTAGGCCACAAGGGTCATGTATGCCATACTTTCATTATCTGGTATTTAGAAAGCATCCATATGTTATACACCACAGTATTACTCTGTGTTAGTGATATGCAGGAAGTAATTATTTTGTATTTTAAGTAATACTACAATTCCTACAATTTCCCCAACAGGTTAAACTTTACATAAACTTCCTTCCATCTGGCCATCAGGAGGTATCATATAGTTTCTGTGCAGATACTTAGACCCTGTATCAGTTTCCTCGCTGCACATCATAATCTGTTCAATATACTTCAGTGTTAAATTAAGCAGCTCGCTCTAAGCAGCAAGGAAAACGATACAAAGGCTTTAATTTTTCATATGGGTTTTAAAGGGTCACATTATCCAGCATATCCATTTAATGACGTTTAATTAGCTAAATAGGGCAATCTGTGGATAGTATACTAAATGGGTGTTTCATGTGACTCTTTCTGCCTGTCTCACTCCAGGGCTTCTTCCGGAGGAGTATTCAGAAGAACATGGTTTACACGTGTCACAGAGAAAAGAACTGTGTTATCAATAAAGTGACACGCAATCGCTGCCAGTACTGCAGACTACAGAGGTGCTTTGAAGTGGGAATGTCCAAAGAATGTAAGTTGACTGCTCGGTATTCTTGATTTTATCAGTAACAAGGGCAAAATTATGTTGCATTTATTAAATGATTCGGTTGAGGTCTGGCCTTTTCACCCTGGTGACATTCCAACATATTCCACCTTCAACAGTAATGTTTTTGTTATACCTCCCAAATTAACACGAAAAAGATTTATTAGCACCCTCTTACACACTCGCTTGCGCTTGCTCATTTTAAAATCAGCTCTTTAAAACTGAACTCCAGGCAAGCATCCTTATATTTAGCTGAAATAAAATATATATGATCATTTTTGCCTTTGGAAGAATTTGTACTTCATTTCAGCCATGCACATCTACCATAGAACACTGCCAGAACCCAGCTTTTGTGTAACCTCCTTGTAGACTATCCTGCAATGGACATGCCCCAGCCTGTGACTAGACAATTATGAAACACATTGATGAGATTATAACTCTACTCTCTTCCCCTGTCAGGAAGCTTCCAGTGTTAGATGGCCAACCTGTTTGGTTCCCAGTGCTGGCCCTGCATCACCTATTCTGAGCAATTGCTGGAGACTAATGTCAAAAAGCTTTGGACCCTTTTGCCACCTATAAAAAATAAATTTGATAATTTTAAGGAATTGATAACTAGTGGTATTTTTACATCTGCTTCAAGTTTAGCAATACATTCTACCTTAATACAAACAAACTACTTAATTCAGCCCATAATGGACTGAAAGAACACTTAGTTGGTGCCTTCTAAGGTTGCTGAGATATGTCACTATAAGCACATTTGGGAGGTATGGAACATTAAATATGATTTTTGTTTTTAAATATTCCAGAACATGAACACATACTTAATATATCACCATCAGAAAGTCTTTTTAGTACGCTGTTGGGGTCATTTATGTCCACTAAATGTGATTTCTGTCCTGTGGTTGCAGCCTTGGCTATCAAATACTTGACTGATTAGCTAATTTATTCCTAACTATCGCTATAGCAGTTGAGAGTCAGCATTTGGTGATCTTCTGTGTTTAAATCTGTGATTCTTACACATACATCACTTTAATAAATTCCATTTGTTGTTTATAAGTGTGTATTATTTTAGTGGTGCATGACGCTGCTTTGTTCTTTGCAATACTATTCTAGGCTCAGAATTAAAAATGTCTTATTGGATGTGCATGCCTCTGTCTAAGTGTATTTCTATTTATCCAGTCCCAAGCATGCAGCACGTGTTTCCCTATGAGCCTAAATGAGCCTTTTTTTCTCCATAATTATGGTGCTATGGTAAACGCAGATATTTACATTTTTGCCAATTTGCTGATGACTTGTAACTTCTAAAATAAATTATAGGAGTGCCATGATGAACCATTTAATATTTCACTATAGATTCGGTGGTTGCAGTAATTTAAATAGTGTTTCTGAGTGCAAGAGCTTACGTTTGTTATTAAAAGGTTAGTGCACCTTTCCAATAAAATTGCCCATGCATTCAAGCTTCCCCAATTCATTAAAAACGCTGCTCAGCTTTGGCCAAAGAAGCTTCTTTTCAATGTCATACCTATAGCCTGTGCGTGGCCTCTCCCAAGCCTGTCTGAAAAACCTTTAGTGGAAGAAACCCTCCCTATCTTGCCTAGATGTCAGGACAGGCCAACGTTGAACGTGCACCTCTCGTGCCACAGGAACAAGCTATCAGCCTCGTTCATAACCTTTGCATGCGCAATGTACTTCCTCTCACTCTATGCGCAGCAACAGAGTGAAAGCGAGTGCACTGCACATGAGAGGGTTTTGAAAACAGCAAAGGGCACGTTCCTGGGGTGTGGGTGTCCAATGGTCCCCGGTCCTGACATCTAGGCAACACGGGAGGGTCCCTCATACTAGCGGATTTTTATACAGACTTGGAAGATGCCACACATGGCCTACAGGCATGTGATTGAAAAAAAAAAAAGCTTATTTGCCCAGAAGGAGCAGTGTTTTTATGGTATTCCAGATGCTTGAATGCATAGGCAATTTCATTGGATTTATAAGGTGAACTAACACTTTAATATGCAGCATTAAGGAAATCTAAACCTAATCACAATTATCTAACATGATATGTTTTAACATGTTAATATAATTTCAAATGTTTTCAGGCCTTTCATATTTGCAGCTTTCATTACAATATAGCTGTTGATCATGCCATCACGGTCCTTATTTAGGTCCAACTGAGGTGACATCAAACCCTCCCCAGTTGTGCTATTGAGTTGTTACCCAGTCACACACACCCCTACCAACACACATGGTGAAAACGTGTTGGACTGTAGTCACTATGAAGATGGCCATAAACCTTACAATTAACATTCAATTTATTTTGTCCCGTCATCGCACCCTCGTTCAATTTCCGCTCAAATAGCCCATCATGTACAGGCCAATGTAGATTTCGATAATCGCTCATCAGAAATACTAACTGGCCGAATTTCGTTGATCGACAAAGCAGAGTTTTGTTTGTGCATGTGCACTGTTGATGTTGCTGTTTGTAACAGTTGTGCCATATTCTACGGATGGGAGCAAGCAAGGCCTTTACCCTAAATATATTGTATATATTGTGCTATGTATCACCTAAAACTGCAAGTATGTAGTTATCTGATGAGTTTTGTACAATATTGTGCAAATAACAGAGTTTAGTGTATGATACCATAGCAGGCATTGACTTTCCGGAACTGCTGAGCAAGGGACACATTCCAGGGTTATTCTTATTTACATTTTCTCATAAGAGATTAAATGCAAAATTCCAGTGTCTGTACAGGATTGTTTGTGAAATGCAACCTATTACGACAGGGCACTTTTGATTAAATATTCCTTACAAGTCTGGCTTTTTTAATCCCAATAATGTATATCCTTATGAGCAGAGCAATTGCAGTATTTTAATTATTTTACCAGCTAAAGGACAAACATAAGAACGATAGGGAAAAAAAAGGACTATTTCTGTTCAAAGGATTACGCTGAATAACAAATCCCCTTGGTAACTCATTCAATTAACATGTTGCACCATTTTACTTAAACAACTGCTGTGCTTAATTCATTTTAATGTGTTTTAGCCCTTAGTCAGTTTGAGCTCTCTAAAGACAGAGGTGGCAAAAGATTTGTTGGATGGCTTTGTGTATGTGCTTTATCTACAAAGCTGTGATTAAAAGTTTCTTCTTTAGTCTTAAAAATAAAAGTTTAATGACTTTCTAGGGTACAATGTAGCTGGCGTGTCTCACCTGAATTAAGGCCAATAGAGTCAAAATGACTGACCCGGCTAATGTTCTGTTGTGGCACATGTGTGGTGAACAAGTTTTGCGTTTTATGTGGTGTAAAGGGAGAAATCGGTTGTTAAAAATTTCAAATCTCTGTATATGGTAATGTATTTTTCCAACTGTACAACTACATATAACTCTTCCTTGGCTCATATATGAATGGTCATTCTTATCTTCTATGGGTTAGAAGGACACACCTTCCCTGTCTGTGTGAACTGCTAGTGCACTTCTTTGTACCAGCAATTGAACACCAGGGGAAAGGATGGAGAGATACCAGAAAGGGACAGACCTTTGTGTTAGCCTGAACGTTTTGTAGCGCGTTCTACGCTCGACGAACGCTCTACAAAATGCTCAAAAATATAAATCCCATTGTATTCAATGGACTCGTTCCCACCTTGGCGTATTTCCGCCCGTCCCTAACGCGCTACAAAACGGCCCACGCCTGAAAAGGTACAGGTACTACTTTGGGCCGTTTTGTTGCGCGTTTCCATTGGGATAGAGCCATGTAGCCTTCGGAAACGCGCGACGGTCGCGCGACTTTTTTACAGCGAATCGCGGTAAAAAACGCGCCTAGGTGTGAACGAGACCTTAGTGAGGCTCTGACACCTGATAATGACAATGTGTAGAGTATAGACATATATTGAATGGGCGTCAGACCAAATGGGTCCCCTTGTTGCTGATCACATTATGTAATTACAGTTCAAAAGGAGAATTCAAACCACACTAATCAAGAAATTAATTTAATTTCAGTATATTGAGTTCAAATATAAAGCACTGTATGGGCATGCAATTCCAGGTTAATTACTTTTAAAAAATAAGGACCTTCAATTTTGCATAGAATATGGTAGGCATACAATTACTCTCAGGTCTGCATTCTCTTTGCTTCTGTAGTTGTTTCTGGGACAGGAAGTGAGAAAATACTTCCAAACCATCGACAACAAAAAAAAAAAAAAACATATCAGAGCTTATAATCAGTCTCAACTGTACTACAAAATGATTTTATTCATGATTGAAGAGTGCTTCTGCTTACCCTTCTGTCCCAGTGACCACAAAATAGAAAAATAGAAAAGTCTCCAACGCGGAGAGCAGTATCCCGAGAAAGATCCCCCCCTCCTCCCCAAAAAAATACTATGGATTGATATACCATTTAAAACAGAACTTGCTTCCCTTTCTCAAGTGCATGTCACATGATTCTATTTCCATTATTTAGGGTAATGTACTCTTCTATAACAGCCCTCCCTTAACAGTTAAGGTGTGTTTTACCTCTTTTTCATCAAAAACAAAGATAAGGAGCTGAATCAGAAGCAAAAAAGGTCAATGCCTAAGGTCACAGAGAGTCAGGTCATACTAAGTAAACTTCGTAGTAATGAGAAAGTAAAGGTAAAAGTCATACAGCAAATAATGGTATCCAGGCCTCTATGTACATGCAGAAATACTTATCTAACACTCAAATTACCTTTGGTTGTTAGATAGACCTGCCTGTGTACATAGTCAAACAAAAGAAAGTCTTGACTATCATTTTCACCTCACACATACTGTGTGACCCTGGACTGTATGAAATGTAACATTTGTTATATTTTTTTTTCAAATTATAGCAACATCACAAATTTTTTTCATGCACTTGTACCTGGTGATATTGGCTAACCCATGCCTAGCATTTTCTCACATATAGGATAGAAAAGATAGATAAGGGAGCGAGGCAGATAAGGTACTCTATATCACACATTTTCCTTTAAATACTCCTACATA